TCAGTTTTTCAATCCACCACCCCTGCTTTAGTCTAAACCTCTCCAGTGCTTCCCCCCCCCTTCTCGAAAGGAAGCCCGTTCTGTCAAAAGAGGGGTGGGCTTGTGTGCCCATCTCCTGGGATGCAAAGAGTCTTTTAAAGAGTGACTGGATGTTAAAAAATTTTTTTTCTTTGTTTGATGTGTTTAGAAACCTCCCTCAAACCTCAAACTGAGATAAACATTTGTATAGTTGTGATTCCTTTTGTAGTCAAATATTATATTGCTTTTGGAGGTTTTTTTTTTTTTTAAATGTTCTCAAATATAATGGCAAAGCTCCCTCTGGCTGAAGAATCAGGATGCCTGCGAAACAGGTAAAGGTTTGTTGCTGTTGTTTTTGTTTTGTTTTGTTTTTTAGTTATCCACAGTCCTGCCTCCCAAATAAATCCTATTAAGGAGGAATAATTTTAGTTTGGGAGTAAGATATTAATGTTCCATTTGCCTGGGCGATTGCATCTCTCTGATATAGAAAGGCCACCAGGGAGGTGACAGTTCTGGGGATTTCAAGTTTGGAACGAGAATGTAATCAAGCTTCTCATGTCTCACAGACACAGGCACAGTTTGTCATGAACACGGCAAGGGATGTCTCCTAGGCTTTTTCATTTACAAGGTTTCCAACCTCACTGTTACCTTTTCTTGCTTGTTAAATGGAATACTCAAAATCAGAACTGTCATTTAAATTAAGAGACTAAGTAAAACAGAGGTTACAGATCAAAGGTATTAAAGAAACAATACAAGCATGTGTACAATTTATTTAATGCAGTTACAGAAACAATCCTGCACTACTGATATATATACACATATATGTTAGCTTAATAGAACCTGAAAAAAAAAACAAACGAGAAAATTGGGTTCAAATGAAACAATAAAAAGTGGGGTTAAAACTGAGACCAAATTAGGCACCTGTGCTAAAACAATGATTTTTTTCAATGGTGCCTGTAAAATTAATTAATTTATTTAATGTATTAAAAAATCTCCAGCAACCAAGGGAGATATTTTACAGGCATTTGAATGATGAGATTTTAGTGAGTCTTGACTATTGGGTTCGTGAAAAGTCAGGCTTTAAAAGAGATGTTTTGAGAAATGTAAATTTTCATAATAATTATATCTAAGTTAAGAAATTTCTCAAGCATTTATAAAGGCACATAAAGTAAAACAACAGAGTGAAGTAATAAGAACGAAAGAAGAGGAAATACGTCCGTTTCAGTGTCATACCTGGAGAATTCACCGCGAGCGAGAGAAAAACACGGCAATCAACATTTTAGACATAACCACGTAAATACCAGCGATCGTCTAACGCTCGTTGCTGGGGAACATTTCCGAAAATATTTTTAGAATGGAAAAACATTTCTAACAGGTACGAACAATAGCTTTAAAAATTAAAGAAAGCAGTATTTGAATTTAGAAGTTAATAGTGTATCGCTTTAACAGATCACTTGGGCAGTTTTCCTTTGTTTAACCGCATTACCTGTTATTCTGCGTGCCTAAGAAACATAGCGAAATAGTGTTGTGTTCTATGTGTGATTGGTTCTGTGAAAAGGGGGCATTAACTCAACAATGAGACGAGTAGAAAAGAAAGAAACAAAACAAAACCAGCACAAAAACCGTTTAGACAAAACCTTCAGGCCCGGAATTAAAAGATTTGAATTGAGGGTAAGATGGCGTAGTTACACCTTTTTTTTTTTTCCAAACCTCTTAGACCCCTTAATGTTTGCCTCGCGTGTTCGCTGAGGGAGAGAGAGCTCTGAAGCTCCAGTAAGAGTTATTGGGAAATACAGTTTCCTCGCCGGGATAAACTCGGGGTCGCGATTTGAGGTTGGCTTTTTTTTTTTTTTTTTTTTTTTTTTTGGAGCTAGCGCAGGTGTCAAACGCCAGCCCGCGGTGGCCACACTGTCCTTCCTGCCGTCTCCTTCCTCAACAATGACTTTGTTGTCCCACCCAGAGCAGAGAAGCCCTGGGCTGCAGCCGCACGGGCCAGGAGCCTCGGTTCCTGCTTCCTAGGTGGTGGCCGGTTCTCGTAAGTGCCAGGGACGCACCAGCCTCCCAGCCGGCAGCCGGGGCACCGCAGGACGCTGCAGTTTTTAACCGTCCTCTCTGGCTTAACTCCGAAGGCGTCCAAGCGCACCACCGAGTGACCCTCCTCCCCCGCACACCTTTCTTTTCTTTCTGACTTACAGGAGAACATGGAGGATGGGGGTGGGGGGAAAGAGAATGCCTGGTACCCTGAAGTCGGCTATGCAGTGACCCGGGAGCCGCTAGCAAATTCTTGAAAAATTACTTTAATAAAGTCGGAAGCTCCAGGAGGCCAGGGGAGGGAAGGCGGCACCAGCTTGTGAAAGGGTGAAAGGGACAAAAACCTCCGGGTGTGTCCTGGGTCCTCTCCCCACTTAGAGTCTGCTCCCTACCAGCTTGAGGGAGGGAAGAAGGCCCAGGTCCTAAGACCTCCGACCTGGACAGGCTTTGCGGGTATTGGCTTCCAGGAGTGGCATAGGGACTTTGGGGGCGCGCCCCGCGGTGCAGTGCGTGTGCCGCGCCAGCGCCCCGTGAGCACCCCCTCCTGCGTTTTGATTTTCTTCCTTTTCTAAGCCGAGTTTACAACTTCACCAATGAATAACCCGCCTCTCTTTTCAACCTAATCACGGTCTTTGTGTACTTTCTGTTGATGATTTATAGGAATAAATTAATAACACCCCAACTCCACGTGCTGCAGTTTATGTTACATCTCCGCTGTGCTGGACACAGCGTGGGGACCACAGTACAGAGGCGCACTAGGCCTCTCCTGCTTCCCTAGGTCAGCTCCGAAACAAACTAGACGGCGGCCCTGGGCTGCCAGGAGGCCAGAAGGAAGGGCCTAGGCCCCAGCGGGGTGGGCGACGAGATGCTGGTTAGGTGAGCCAGGCCCAGGACAACCTTCCTGCCACCCTACCGCCCCCGACGTCGTTCGGAGGGGCTCAGCTCCCCAGTCCATACCCTCTACACCTGATACCATCCAGGCCCCTAAATCCGACCGGAGAGAAATCACCGCCACATGTTTCCCAAGCTTGTGAATTAGCGGGGGGAAAAAAAAACATTTTAGGGGATTAAAAAACAAAACAAAACTACAAGTCCTCCAGATTGCCTTGGCTAGAGGGCAAGCGGTCAGGTATCCAAAGCACAAATTCAAATGCAAGGTCACCACTCCAACCTGCGCTGCGGGAGAGGGAGCCTAGCCCTTAATGTTCGCATTCACTTGGGACTCTCTCTGAAACTTCGAAGCCAAGGGGCTTAAGAGTCATGGGCCACGCGAGGGGCTCCTTCCTGAAGCCAAGTGGCTCCCAAACAACGCGTGGCCTAAGGGAATCACTTGGCTCCTTAGATAATTAGTAACTAGCTGTCAAAGTGTAGGCCAGGGCAAGAGGACCGGCAAGTGATCCCAGCCACCGGAGAGACAGCAGCCAGACCCTGGATCCCCGCAGGATAGCCGGGGTGCCTCTAGTGAGATGCGTACACACCCACCTTTCTCAGATTGGGACAAGGTTCTCTACATAGTGGGGCAGGGGTGTCTTTGGACCACGTATCCCACACATTCGCACTCTTCCTTTCATTATTTTGTGGTTTCTTTTGGCCGGCAAGGGTCCATCGTGACCCTACAGCAAACTTTCCGCTTTACAAATCTAAAGCTGCGGCTCGCACTGGCGCTGCAGAAGCAAGGACTCAAAGAACTTGCTTCCGAGGCCTCAGCCACCACTGCTGCCAGACCGCCTCTGCAGAGGGCTTTAAGTCTCTGGGAGAAACGTGTGGCTTGAGGTTTTCGAAGTGCGTGGGGGCACAAGTCTGAGGTCCTAGGAGAATCACAGCTGTCTCACTGCGCCCACCTGCACCTCTAGTCCTGGGAAGTTTAAGGTTCCGCACCTTCGGGTCTCGCGCCTGGGTACCACCACCAAGGTGCATGAGTCCAGAGCGCCCACCTAGGTGGAGGCAGATGAAGCCTCCCTCGGGTTGCAGGTCAGCCGGTTGAGGAACTAGTTCAGTTGTTCTCAGAGAAGCGAAGCACCCCCGGGGGATTTATTTTCCCCACCATGGGAAAGGGGCTTGCGGGAGAAGAGTATGCACCACACGCCTCCGATGCGGGGCAGGGGACTGACTCCATGAACCCACGGGGTTAGGGGTGGTCCGGGCGTACCCAGCACCTCGCTTGCTGCCTACCTGAGCATCCGGTCCACCTCGGCCCGCTGCTCCGCGGCCTCTTCGGTGTTGAGTGCCTGCAATTCCTTGAGGATGGGAGGAGTGTCATAGTCGTCCCCGTCCTCCGAGCCCTCGTCCCCAGACAAGCGGCCCTTGGCGTGGCCATTGGTGAGAGTATGGAAAACCGGTTTGGTGTCGAGATCCGTCCCGCTCCCGGGGGACAGAGGCAGCGTCTCCAGTTTCACCCCGAAGTTCGGGGACGGCAGTAACTCCTCTAAGGCCTGGACCAGCACTTCCTTGGTGACTCCAGAGCTCAGCAACGCGCTCAAGAGTTCTTGTTGGAGAGACGTGAGCTTGGACACCATTTTCCAAGGACGGAAAAAGAAGGGGGTGAGGGGATGGGTGGGTGTGAGAGAGGAGGGTGGAGGGGAGTTTTACAAGAGACCTCTAAGTCCTGGAACCCCTCCACCCTTTAGCCTCCAGACACCTGTTACTCCCCAGGGTCCCGGAGTCTCCTCCGAGAGGAGTCAGAAAACTTCTAACTTGCCATGATCGCCACCATTAGGCCATATAAGATATGCAAATGAGTGGGAAGGGCTCGGCTTTCGGCAAGATGCAAATGGTGGTGGGGAGGGGGAAAAACCGAGAGAGTGGGAGAGCCTGAGGGACAGTCCAACGAAGCCGGAGACTTGGGCCAGGATCGGGACTTGCCAGGGCCCATTGTACTCACCCTTGGGGGGGGCTCCAAATCTTTTCTACCGGTTCTGTTTATCAGTCAAACTTTAGCTGACCTTTGGACTTGTTAAGCAAGTGGCTTGCAGCCTAGGCGGGGGGGGGGTGGGGGGCTGCTTTTCCACAGGCGGCGGGTTCAACTTTAGTGGAGAAAGAAGAAACCGCGCTTCGGGGGTTCAGGTGAGAGAGCTGGAGAAAGTTGGGGTGCCTTGGAAGACGGGGGTGGGGGGAGGATGAGGAGAGCATAGAGTCTCAAAGGTGACCACAGGTAGCAAACCTGGGAATGCAGCGGGGTGGTGGTGGAGAGCCCGGTCCTTTGGGAATGGGCACCAGGAAGAAGAGAGTGATTCCAGGCACCGGTAGAACGAATTGGAGGGGCCTCACTTACTTTTACCTCGTTTACTGCTCTCCAGGCCCTCCTCAACCAGGCCTGGTTTGGATTTAAAGGACCGCCGGCCCAGACCGCGTAGTTAGGGTGCTAGAGGCCTTTAGGACCCTTGAAAGGAGGCGCCCACCGACTACTTTATGGCCGCAGGGAGTAGTGAAAGCGGAGCTGCGCTGCCGCAGGGCTGCCCTAGCCCGGCCACACCAGAGGAGAGCAACACCTGGGGCGCGCTCTCTGGCCTAAACCCGGAACGTAAATGCGCCTAGACTTTCCAGGCAAAACTAGGACTGCGGGGACCCGGATGAATGCTTAGCTTGGCCTGTGGCTGGACCGACTGTTGCAGCTCCGGGCTACCCAGGTCCTCTTTTTCTGGTCTCTTAGTTGTAGGACGGCCGCGGTTCTGGTGCCGGGAGTTAGAGTTCTAGTAAACACAAGTTCACTGAGGCGGTGGTCTTGGATGCCACCTAAAATAAACACCCCAAAGCCATTGAAGAAAATTTCCCCCCACCCAGGTCTGGCCCGGAAGGAAACCGTGAGCCTTTCGGCGTGGCAGGAGTTTCTGCCACAGCTCCCCTGGGACCCGGAGAGGAAGAAAGGAGGCGCAGGCCGCACCCAGACCTCCAGGCTGGGACCTGACCTGAAGGGTAGAGACTGCTTCAATCCATACACAGTAATAGCACACCGGGGCGGAAGCCACTTTGAACCTTGGTTCCTTCCTTTGTGGAATACATTCCTAATAACCAGGAGGCCGGGAAGGTGTGGACACTGAGGAAGACCACCTGTGCAAAGCTGACTAACACTTGTGTTCACACTTTCCAGTCCGTGAAGGTGGGAGGCCAGTTCCCAGTGGTAAAATCTAGCTAGCCCTTTAGAAGCTGAGGGTTCTCAGACTCAGGGACACTGAGGTTGGAAGAATTGGGCAAAGAGGAACTAAAGTTCAGAGCTCTCAGGAGAGCAAAGGAACTTCTAAGCACATTCTCTAAACTGCCTGCGCATTCAAAAGCAGTGGATTAGGAGGAAATTGCGGTTGGGTCAGAGGTAGAGATGAATATTTACAAGAGAGAAGAGAATGGCCCATGACCCGCAGCCCTCATCTGCTAGGCGCAGGGTCAGACCTCCCGGTGAGCCAACTCTGGTGAGTCACGCTGCAAGGGTGAAGATTCTGTGAAAGGTGGAGCAGTGACTGGTACCTGGATCACCTGTGCTTGGAGTCTGGAGAAGGAAGGGGTGGGTGCGGGTGCGTGCATGGGATCCCAAGGGTTGCACCTACCCCTGTTTATCTGAGAAAGGGGTTGTAAGTTCACAGAAGGGAGGGGGAGCTTCATTTCACCTTCTTGCTTTCTAGTTTGTTGTGACATGGGACAGATCCTTGCCTTTTGTGATCCTGCCCAGTAGGAGAATTCTCTGCCTCTCAGCGCCACTCAGGCAGGATGATGAAGTGTTCGAAGTAAATGTCCCTGAGCGAAGAACCTTGTTTTCCCTGCCTCTTACTCAATATAAGTAATATAATATAATAAAGTATAAGAAGCAACACTTTCTGTCATAAGCCAGGGGAACCCATTAAAAAGCCACCATCGCCGTCACCATCCACTTACCAGCACAGCTTTGATTTGTAGTTCTAATTAGTGTGTACCACCAGCCACCCAAACCTTCCTCCCTCTTGCTCTCAAAACTCAGGTGTTAGCACATTCTCCCCCAACACACACACACACACACACACACACACACACACACACACACACGCACCAGGCACCCAGTGCATGCAGGTAGATCTTCCATGTAACCTGGCTATTCATAGCCTGAGATTGTCCTGCCCAGACTTACAGTTTATTTACTACTCCAGGAAATATAGGTAAATGTCAAGTAATTGCAATTACAGATGTGTGAGCAGACTTTATGCCCATGAACCTGTATTGATTTTTTTTATTTTTATGTGAAGGAGTGTTTTGCTTGCATGTATGTACGTATGTGCACCACATGTGTGCCTGATATCCTTCGAGGTCAGAAGAGAATGTTGGATTCCCTGGAACTGGAGTTACAGACAGTTGTGGGCTGACATGTGGGTGCTGGGAATTGAACCTGGGTCCTCTGGAAGAGCAACAAGTGCCCTTAACCACTGAGCCATCTCTCTAGCCCTGCCATGGAAATTTAAAAAGGAAAATTCAAACAGAGCAGCATGACTAAATGAGCCATCTCTCTGAAAGCTTTCCTCTAAGGCAAAACTTCTCCCTAAAGCCGGACAGTGGTGGTGCATGCCTTTAATCCCAGCACTCAGGAGGCAGAGGCAGGCAGATCTTTTGTGAGTTCAAGACCAGCTTGGTCTACAAGAGCTTGTTCCAGGACAGGCTCCAAACAAAGTTACAGAGAAACCCTGTCTCGAAAAACCAAAAACAAAAAATAAAACAAGAAAACAAACAAACAAAGCCAAACAAACAAAAATACTTTTCCCTAAGAGAGGGTGGGCTTTTAGGACGAAAGAGAAGTCTCCCTAGTCTTCATTGCTTTCAGAGAAGAGAAGGTGAGGGAGCGGGGGTCCCACAGGAGGGAAATAGGAGATCACACCACAGGGATGGAGGAAAGCCTTTGAAGTCCCAGACTGAGTGCATCATGATGAAGATTTAGCATTGTGATTTATTTAAGTATTATGGGGGGAGGTAGTTGGGGGGTGTTGAGGGACCACTTAAGTTCTATGATATGAAATTCTTTAAAGGTCTTCAATTTCTGAGATGCCTACTTACAGATCTTTGGGCACTCCTCTGTTTAGTAGGAGACATTTCTCAGTGGCCCACGAGAAATTACACCACAGAGAATACGATCTGGAGGAAGGGGCACCACTCTTACACACCACTGCCTGGAGAGCTGCTGAGATTCACAGTTGCTCAGTGAGGTATCCGTGGAGTGAATGAGTAAGTGGGCGTCTCAAGAACGATTCTGGTGACTTGCTGAATTCTCCTGCCCATCAGCAATGAAATTAATAACACTCTTAGGCACAAACAGATATATGCTATGTGGTCCATTTGTATTTTGTTAACTAGGAAAGAAAACCCATAGTGGTACAGGTTACTGGCATAGTAGGAAGGTTCTATGTTTTTTTTTTATGTTTGCTTATTTACTTATATTAAATAACTCATTTTTATTGTCTTGTATTTAAAATTAACTTATTTGTTATTTTGTGTCTAGGAGTGTTTTGCTTGCATGTATGTCTGCGTTCCATATGTGTGCCTGGTGACCATGGAGGGCAGAACAAGGGCATCAATCCCCTGGTGCTGGAGTTACAGATGGATGTGAGCTGTCATGTGGGTGCTAGGATTAGAACAGGGAACCTGTGTCCTCTGGAAGAGCAGCCAGTGTTCTTAACCACTAAGCCATCTCTCCGTGTTTTTTTTTTTTTTTTAAATGTGGATAGGTGTGCCTGAATGTCTGTGCACATTTACATGCAGTGTCTAGGGATGCCAGAAGAGGGCACCTGATACCAAACCCAGAACTGGAGTTAACAAGTGATTGTGAGCCCCCACGTGGGTGCCAGAACCAAATCCAGGTCCTCTGCAAGAGCAGCAGGTGCTCTTAAATACTGAACCATCTTTCTAGTCTCCAATTTAAAAAAATATTTATTTTTGCCGGGTGGTGGTGCATTCTTTTAATCCCAGCACTCGGGAGGCAGAGGCAGGAGGATCTCTGTGAGTTCAAGGCCAGCCTGATCTACAAGAGCTAGTTTCCAGGACAGGCTCCAAAGCTACATAGAAACCCTGTTGCGAAAAAACAAAACAAAACAAAAATTTATTTTATTTTATGTGTAAACGTGTTTTAATTGGTACCTATAGAGCCAGAAGTGGGCAGCAGATCGCCTGGAATAGTAGTTATAAATAGTTGTGAGCCACCATATGGGTGTGCAGAATCAAGCCGGGTCTCCTGCAAGAGCAACAAGTGCTTTTAAATGCTGCAGCATCTCTTGAGCCTCCGAAGAGTCTATAGCTTTGATTTTGAACTCACTAAGTAGGCCAGGCTGGCCTTGAACTTCTAGGGATCCTTCTGCCTCTGTTTCCCTCATGCTGGGATTAAAAGCGGTCCTATGTTTTGATGGAGTCGGTATGCATCTGTAGGACCTGTGCATATTTCTCTGTGCATTTATGCATACCCCTGTACATACGTTACAACTTAATTAGAAAGATAAAATCTATTCCAAAGTTGTGTATGGGGGCACTTGGGAAGTAGAAGCTGGAGGATTGGGAGTTCAAGGCCAGTTTGGGAGAGTTCAGGGCTTGCCTCTGCTATATGATACCCTGTCTCAAGCAACAACATAGAAACAATTCCAATGTATGAAATGTAAACAGTGGTGGTCATTAACTTACCCACCAATTGTTTACAGGTGGTATATGGTCTTCTAGAATCTTCTCTCTCTTTCTCCCCCCCCTCCCTCTTTTGTTTTTTGAGTCAGGGTTTTTCTGTGTAGCCCTGGTTGTCCTGGAACTCGCTTTGTAGACAGGTTGGCCTCAAGTTCAGAGATCTGCCTCTCTCTGCTTCCTGAGTACCAGCTAGAATCTTTTCTATTTACCACATATATAACTCATTATCATTAAAATCGATAGGCTGGCAAGATGGGGCAACACATGCCTCTAGCCTCAGCAGACTAAGCAGGAATTTCAAGCCAGTCTAGACTACACAAGACCTTGTCTTAAAAATCAGAACCAAAGCCAGGCAGTGGTGGCGCACGCCTTTAATCTCAGCACTTGGGAGGCAGAGGCAAGGGGATCTCTCTGACTTTGAGGACAGCCTGGTCTACAAAGTAAGTTCCAGGACAGCCAGGACAGTTACGCAAAGAAACCCTGTCTCGAAAAACTAAAAACAAATCGAAACAAAAATCAGAACCAAGCCAAGTAAAACCCTAGATGTTAGTATGTTCTAACAGTCAACAATCTTTTTCCATAAAGAATTAGATAAGCCGGGTGGTGGTGGCGCACGCCTTTAATCCCAGCACTCGGGAGGCAGAGCCAGGTGGATCCCTGTGAGTTTGAGGCCAGCCTGGTCTACAAGAGCTAGTTCCAGGACAGGCACCAAAAACTACGGAGAAACCCTGTCTCGAAAATCAAAAAAAAAAAAAAAAAAGAATTAGATAGTAAATATTTTAGGCTCTGTGGGCCCTCAAGTCTCTGTGACAACTATTTGATTCTGTTGCATACAATGCAAAAAAAAAAAAATGAATACCTGTGCTGTTCCATGAAAACTTTATTAAAAAGAAACTGGCTGACAGTATATTTGGTCCATGGGCCACACTTCATCAATCCCTGGCAAAACACTTCTGCAGGCAAAAACCTGTAGATACATAGTTACCTTAGAAGTGGCCTTATGTCCTTTGTTCCCTCCTGGGGAAAGAAGGAAAGAAATAAGCAGATGTTTTATTTGGGAGAAGAAGTGACTTTCCCGAGAGATAAAAGCCAGGACATTAGGAGGACCCAGACTTGGAGTCAAGTGTGGAGCAGCTGCTTTCCGGGCATGCCTAGTTTGACCTTGGACAACTTCCTCTGTTTCTTCTAGTTTTTATATCCTGAGCACGTGTTAACATTGATGACAGTGGCGCTTCTGCCTCGTTAGGTTGTTGGAAGAGTTAAAGGACTTAGCTCAGAAAAAATATCTTAAATGGATCAGCACAAGCAAGACCCAAATCAAGTGCTTGTTCAGTCATAACACGTGGCTCAGGAGTTCCTCTCTCCCTCCCTCCCTCCTTCTCTCCCTCCCTCCTTTCTAACTATCCAGCATACAGGTAAACTCGCTACCACTGTGTGAAGGATTCACTATATGAAGCCCTCTGAAGGAATCACCAAATCCCAAGTCCTTGCCTTTCTGAACGTCACTTCCAGCTCTGAGCCCTTATTCCCCAAGCCTGCTGCTATGAAATCTCTCAGCCAGGGAAACTCCTAAGGGCAGATAGTTCTTGTCTTTTGATTCAACAACCCACATCTGCTGGGACATTTTTAGAAATAGGGTGTTTCCAGCAGCTTGTAAAAGATTAAGTTAAAAACTGGCAGCCTAGTGTGATATTAAACTAATAAATACTACATCTAGCATTGAGAACCTTCATTGCAGAACAATAACCCACGCTGCTTCCTTCCTCTGCAACACCTGTGAGAGGTCAGACTGGTGAGGGGCACAGAGCACAGTGGACGGTCCTCGGGTGTTTATAGAATATATCGTGGGCTCCACGTACAGGAGGAATGGCATTGATGTTTATGGGTAAATGATATGAGCTAGACCAAAGTGTACAGGAAAAAAAAGCCATGTAACTCCTATTGACATTTCTTGGAATCTGTCCTCAGATTAATACTAAAACAAGTTCTGAGAGCTTGCTTGGAGGTTTTAGCAGGCAAATACCCCTACTCATCTACCCCTGACCCACAATTTATTCCCTGGTAGGGGAAAGTTGCTCTCTTCCAGTCTGGATGCAGGGAAGCACATTGAGTGGTGAGGGAGGAAGGGACATCTTCCTAGCCAGCCAGATCAGCCACTCAAGTCTGGCAATCAGTGGGGGACAG